CAGGTAGACCAGAACCACAGCTATACCAATTCTATACCACAGTCACCATGATTGTGTTAATAAATAAATATAAATAAATAAGTAAAAATAAATATAAATAAATAAATATAAATAAATAATAACAATAATAATAATAATAATAAATAATAATAATAAATAACAAGCCGACACCCTACCGTATGCCATTTGAAAGGATACACCTCGGCGATCGTTCCAGGTGCCGTTATAACAGTTTCAACTTAGCAAATTTAACACATCTACCGTAATCACATCTCGAAATATAATTTAAACAGTCACAAAAATAACAATAACAGTAAATGCAATAAATAATAACAATAATAAATAATAATAAATATTAACAATAATAAAAAATAATAAATAATACCAATAATAATAAAAATAATAAAAATTAATTAAATCTCATCAAAGGCACATCAATTCGATACAAATTATTCATACTACAGCACAAAATCGATTTCGAATCCAACGCTATCAAACGATCTATCAACCCACACAACTGCACCTGAACACACCTCAATTAATAATAATAACATTAAAAACAATAATAAATAATAATAATAAATAATAATAAATAATAATAATAAATAATAATAATAAATAATAATAAGTAATAAAAAAATACCTTCCTAATCATCACCCGATAATTAATATCCCAAAACTGTACACTATCCCCGCAACTCGTCGCCACCAAATCATTATTCACAACAACCAAAAAACTCTTCTTGTCAACATATACTCTACTGTTCTGAATACAATAAATACAATAATTATAAATATATATAATAATAATAAATAATAATAATAAAAAATAAACCTCGTCATCACTCAAAGCATAAGTAATTTTCGTGATGAGTTTATTATTGAATTTATTCCAAAGCCAGAGATGACCGCCATCCGAGCAATATCCCAATAGTAATGTATCTGTATAGGCCAACTCAACACTCGTGTTCATCGCGAATACATCCTCCATTGTTCTGATTTATTTTTATTATTTTTGTAAAAGTAATAAATAATATTTTTATTATTTATTACTTTTACTTAACTTACAATTAAATACTACAAACTTAATTAACAGTAATAATACCAAAATAACAAATAATAATAAACAGCAACTAATAAAAAATTACCTTAATAAATTTCCACTCTCCAATTCCCAACAACAAATAAAACCCTCCTCACAACTACTATAAACTAACTGCAATACACTTATTATTTTCTACATAATTATATACACATTTATTGATATAAATATTAAATATAATGAATAAATAAATAATATAAATATTAAATAATATTTAATATTTAATAATAAAGATCACTACATAATATTCGACAAAATATCACATAATTAATACAAAATATTACTAATCACTTAAAATAATATCAATTACTAATATATAAAATTACTATTAAATAAAATATTAAATATATAACACTCACATTACTGCCGGCATCTACACAAACACAAACAATT